GAACCAGCCCTCTGCCCAGGCAGGGGCTCTGGACATGGCCCCAGGACAGGAAACCCTTTGTCCTCCTAGGCTGAGCAATGGCAGCGAGTGGCTCTTCCATGGCAAGGATGAGGTAAGTGCAGGGCAGCCTGGCCCAGACCCCGGGCTAACAAAGGGGCACGTGGAGAAGGCTCCAGCCACTTGACCTCAAGGCTACCTCAGAAGGGGCAGTCCTAGGACCCCCCCCCTCCATCCTTTGTGTCAGGCCACTGGGGAGGTGTGAGGCCCTGACCCTCCCGCTCTGCAGGAGGAGATGCTGTCCTGGCTGCAGGGCGTGAGCACCGCCATCAACGAGTCCCAGAGTATCCGCATCAAGGCCCAGAGCCTGCCCTTGCCCTCCATCACCGGCCCTGACGCCAGCCTCGGCAAGAAAGACAAGGAAAAGAGATTCAGCTTCTTCCCCAAAAAGAAGTAGCCTCTTGCTGCGCCCCACAGGTGGGGCCCGGCCTGCAGGTGCCGCAGTGCCTCCCTCGACTGCCCAGGACAGGCAGGGGCGCCCTCGGCCTTGACCTTGGCCACGACCTTGGCCACAGCCCTCCTCCCGCCCGGCTGCCCGCTGCCCACTGCCTGCCTGCTCCGAGTCGCCGGGCGAGGCTCCAGGGCCCACGCTGCACTGCAATAGCTGCCTTCGCCCACCCGGCCCGATGCCTGCTCCCCCACCATCTGCAGAGCAGCTCCAGGGACAGAGGCTCCCGGCTCCGCTGGGCCTCCGGGCCTGGGGGCAGGACACGGTTTTCCCAGGCGCACACCCTCCTCCCCACCCCATTTTTAAGCTGAGGATGCTCCAGCCCCTCAAGCCCCATAAAAGCTAGAGAAGGCTGATGGGTTCCTCAGATGCTGCCCACTTCCAAAGCAAGTCTTGCGTGGGGTCACCCCCACTTGGTCAAAACCAGGGACAGGGAAGAGGACACTGGAAATACCTGGCCCACCCCTGGGGCGTGAGGAAAGAGCCTCCAGGTAGGCCCACGGGGCCCCAGCTCTGGGAAAAGGGCTGCTGGGGACTGAGGGGACACTATGATCCTCCTCCCCACTGGGCTTCCTGAGAACTGGTACTCTCACCTCAGGGGCCACCACATCCCTTCCCCACCCTCCTCCCACCAAAAAAGGGGGTCCTCCAAGGTCCATGGGTCCTAAGTGCAAGGGGCCTCCCGCTGCCTCCAGCACCCTTTGCTACCACCATAGGTGGTAGAAGGATCAGGAAACTCTCCAGCGGGTCCTCCTAAAACTTCAGTGAAAGCTTAAGGCTAGAGCTCAGACCTGAAGGAGGTACATGAGTCCTGACACTGCCTAAGGCGCTGCCTCTCCACGCTGGGAACTCCTCCCAGTGGCAGCTGAACCAGCAATATCCGACTCAGACCCAGGACCCCTTAGAGACAGTACGGTCCCCAGATACCAGACGGACAGCCCCTCCTGGAGTAAAGCATCCCAAAGCCAAATGCCCAATGTGTATCGTCTATAGCTGGTACCATCTGAGGATACTGGCTGGACAGACAGCCAAGTTGATGTATGACCTATCGCCCTGGGGTGGCAAAGATGGCCTCATCTGGGTGTTACCACCATCATCACACAACCCATGGACAGCTGGCACAATGCTGGGGCCAGAGCCACGAAGGTGTGGCACCCCTTGCTCAGCTTCTCCTGAAGGTCCTGGCCTTGGGTCTTGGGGAAGTCACATGGATGCAGAAGTCACCAAATGCCCACACACCCCATCCCCAAGCACAGCCAACGGGGCCCTGCAACCTAGACCCATAGAGATAGCCTTCCCCATGCTGCTGAGGTCAAACTTCTGGAGGGAAGAGGGCACTCATTCCACAGGGATTTTCCCTGCCACTCTTAGAAAGCAATACAGCTCCAGCCCAGTATCCTAACTGGGGTTAGGTCCCAAAAAGGGGTCAAGTTGGTGGCAGTAGGCCTTTCTCCTGGAGAGGTCTTAAAGGTCCCTGGGGACTACAGCTGGTTTCCATCACCCACCCCATGGGAAGAAGCCTTAGACACACTGAGAGGATTCCTCGGATGTGGGTGAGGCTCAGGTAGAAACCCCAGGAGTAGGCATCCAGAGTTCCTAGGCCTTCCCAGGAGCACTTAATGCAGGCACACCTCAGAGATCAAAACCTCTATGTCAAGGTGAAGTTGACTTCAGCAGACAAGAACCACAAGAGGGTAGTTCTCCAACGGAGCCTGACATCCCCAGGTGAGGTGGTCCCACTCTGTAGCCAGGGTCTTCATTGGGCCTCTGTGCACTTTGCCCTAGAGCCCTCTTTATACCTACAGGGAACGTAGTATAGACCATTCACCAGCCTCTTTCCACACCTGGGGAAACCAAGGCAGGAGGCAGTGAGGTGACTACACTCACCTGGCAATACAGAAGACCTCTGGTGCATCTGAGGGCATGTCCTGCTCCAGGGCAGATAGCATGTTCCTTGCCGAAGCGTGGATGATGGCAGGAGTCTCCCTCCACTGCTTCCCTGGGCCAGTCTTGAGGGAGCCCAGGGACAAGGAGCCACCCTTTCCCCTCCATGTGTGCCAAAGTAGCACCTGAGTGAGGAATCTCCAACAAGCAACTCCACAGGCCCAAGAATGAAAGGACCCCAAAGGAAGCGCTAGGACTTCACCAACCAGGTCCCCCTGACTGTCAAGGGCAGCCAACTGCATGTGACCCGCCATCTATTGCCAGCTCCCATATGTCCCTCCCAACATCACACAGACCCCCAAGACCCTCAACCAACAGGACTGAACTTGCAGGAACCCAGCTTTGGGAGGCTGTGCCACATGGGGGCTAAGCCCCTGGTACCCTGGCAAGGTGTTTTGTTTTTTGTCCTTACATTTTCTACTCTGCAGTCTTTAAACAGTATTCCCAAACTAGGTTGACACAGCTCCAGTCCACACCAGCATAACAGGCTTCCTCCCAGGGCAGTTTAGAGGAAGCTCCCTCGGGACATGGTCAGGTGGTCCTCCTGTCCCTTCATCCCCTGGCCTCAACGGACTCTGGCTGAGGGAGGGTATGACGGTTCCTGGGCTTCCTTCCCCCCCACCAGCACCCATCACAGGAGGCCTGAAGGCTCAGCTCCCACCCACCACTTACTTCCTGCCTATTAGAGGGTAACTAGGGTAACCAAGGCTGGTCCTGGATCCCCCTCCTCTGTTCAGTGGGAGGGGGCAGAGAGCCAAAGGACCACATGGCTTGGTCCCTTGGACAAGCAAGCTCAGGGACGACGCAACGGAGGCAGCAGCTGCAGAGGACCGCAACCCTGTTGGGCACAGACCATGCAACCTGGGGCCAGCTGGGCCTTGTCCTCCACCTGCTCAAACGTGCTTCCACCCAACAGAGGAAACCCACTTACTAGTTTTTCTAATAAATCAATAATGCTCCACATTTCTCTCCATTTTTTATTTGACAAGCCTTGTTTCCCTTTCACCTGGGCCAAGGAGAGCTAGTTGAGTGAGCAAGGAGGGAGCTGTGTCCAAGCCAAACTCTCTGGCTTGTCCTCAAGTCTTATGGGACAACTCTGCCAGCACCCGGGTCCTGCGCCCCACCCGAGACCCTGACTAAAGTTCACTTGGCCATGCATTCAACCATCCTGAGGGCCTGCTGCAGGCCATTCCCCACACAGCTAAGGGCAGAGATCCTGGCTGGACGTCAGAATGGCTGTGCCCACGGTTCCTCTCCATAAGGGCAGCTTTCATGTGATCTGGGTTGCTGGAATGTGGCATAGCCATTTTACAAATGGCTCCACAAAGATTCTAATGGGCAGCTGGTGACACTGAGCTAGCCCAAGGTTCCCAGACATATCTAGATGCTTGTGTAAGAATCACCTGGGTAAAGTGTTCACTGCAAATTCCCAGGCCCCACCCTCTGATGAGTCGGTCAGAGGGTGTGAGAAGCAGCGAATCATCCATCTCCTTCAACTTACAGATAGGAAAAGGCAAGAGTTTAGGTGACCCGACTACTTAAGGGCAAGGCTAGGGCCAAGGCATGGGTCTCCTGACTCTCAGTCTGTTACATTTGTGGGTGCTCAATGCCGTAACCCAAGACTTGCCCGGTAGAAGCGGACTCTCTCCACAGTGACTGTGGAAGTGGCCACAGAACATTCAGGGTGGCTAGTAGAACATGAGCTATCTCTGGCCTGTCTTCTCTTGCCCAGGAGAAGCTCTACGAGCCTCTGAGCTTCCCTTGACCTCGACAGACTCTGTGCACCCATCTGTAGGTGGAGCCTATTCTCCTAGGTCAGAAACAAATGGAGTCCTGAACCAGCAGACCTATGGGGACACTTGACGACAGTTCTACCACCTGAGCCCTGCAGCTCCACTCCTCCCAGGCCCCAGACAGAAGGAACAAGGCAGAACAAGGCTGGTCCACCATAAAGAGCAGGAAACCCAACTAGAAATAGGGAGGCATTCTTAGCCCTTCTGAATCAAAGACACTTTGAGAATGGGATGAAAACTGAGGCTGCATCCCAGAAAAATGCACCTGTATCCCTCACCCAACATTCCAAGCCACCTGAAGACATTTCTAGACTCCAGGTTCAGAATCCTCATCTCCTAGAATGTCTCCTAGGAATGAGAGCGGGAGAAGAGTACAAGGCACCAGACACTGGAAACTTCTGCCTATTAGAAAAACGTTCCTTCCATTCCTTCCATTCACTCCCCCCTTCCTTTAGTCCAGCTTTGGCCCTTGAGGAAACAAGCTAAAGGCTGGCATGATGCTGCTGCCGTCAAGACAGAATGCCAGGCTGTGGGTTGACAGAGAAGTCCACTGGAGTAGCAGAGAGCAAGTTCCCCCCTGCACATCCTGCGGCCCCAACCTGCCCCACGAGCACCCTGGTGCCTTGTGCTTCATGAGCACGGCTGGTGGCTGGGTCAGCGTGAAAGCTACAACCCCCCCGTCCCACTTCATCTAAGCTACCCCGTCACGATCGACTCTCCCCACCCCAGCCAGGCCCAGTAAGGACGCCACACACAGGTCGGTTGGTCAGCAGTGGTTATTGCACCATTGGCAAATAATGAAATGTGTATACATTAGCGACAACCACAGGGTCAGCAAGACAACCCACAAAAGTACCTGAATTGAGTCTGTTACATTCTTCACGGGAAGGGAATCAACAGAGAAAACACACACTCGCTCGCTCTCTCTCATGCGCGCGCACATATACACAGAATGGAAAGCAATAAATTATGGACCTCACTCCCGCCTGGATGCTAAGGAAAGGCATGGTTAAAGGGCAAAGCCTCTCCAGGCCACCTTCCTGCGTCTCCCTGGCTGGGCGTCTCAGTCTGGCAGTGGCCGCCCACGCTGGAGGCCTGAGCAGGGTCTGCTCTCCCAGGGGAGAGGTGAGCTTAAATATTTGGCTTCTTATAGAGAGAAGTATATACAAGGGAAGTGGCCACACTGGCCTCAGAGGGAAGGGGCTCATTTGGGCCTGTGGAAGGTCACCATGAGTCCAGGGGAGCGCCAGTGCGGTCACGGCAGGTGAAGGCACATGCCAAGTACATGAGAGCAGTCTTCCTGGGCACGGCCTTTCTGAGGGCCCAGGGTGAGGCTCCTGTAAGGAGGGTGAGCCCAGGCTTGTGGGCATATGCCAAGGTTCTTCCCCGTCCCTCAGCTCCTCCCTCCCCCAGGACTCAAGAATCAACCTATGGAGCTCAAGGCCTGGAATTTCTCCCTCAGGTTTCTCACTCTGCCCTGCTGGCTTGGGTCCACTGGGTCCCTGGGACCCTCTTCCTTCAGCCAGTACTCTGCAGACTCCTGCAAATCCTGGCCCTGCCCCGCCACGGCTGCTGGTGAGCTTGGTCCCTGGCCACTGCCCTCCTCCAGCCCCGCAGCGGGGCCAGGCAGGAGCCCCTTCTCCATGATAATCACGCGCCGGCTGTTCTCCAGGGTGAGGTCTGCGGTGACACACAGGGCCTCCTCTCCATCGGGCCCACTTTGGGGCAGCCCCCGGGGAGGCTGGGGCCGGCCCTTAAGGCTGCAGCAGCGGCCCACCCTGCCCGACAGAGGCGGCTCCACCATGTTCGGCACCGAGCGGCTCCGGTTGACGGGCAGGCCTCGGCGCCGACTGCCCTCGGCCTGGACCGCCTCGTCGTGGGAGGCGTACTTGGAGCAGAGCTCTCGGACATCAGGCCAGTTGAAGGTTTCAGTGTCCAAGGGACTGAGGGGGCTTCGGATGGAGGGCCGGGCCCCCGGGGAAGTGGTCCTCGAGTTGGCAGCAGAGGGGCTGAAGGAGAGACGCCGTGGTGATGTCTCCCCAGCAGGGTAGGGCTTGGGTAGGCTGTGCTCCTGGACCAGCAGCTGCTCCTGGTTGAGGGACAGCACTGGCCTTCTCTTACCTGTGAGGAGAGAGCACTGCCTGAGTCACTGGGCAGGAGGGGAGGGCAGAAGTGAGGCCTCTGAACTGCCTTCAGTCACTTCTGGGTAAGGCTGCTTGGTGGGGTTTTGGGTGTGATGATGGAAGGAGAATCTCATTTACCATCCCGGCCCCTTTATCAAAGGGAAACAGGAAGAATAAAGAAAAGGCAGTGGACAAGGGCTCAAGAGTCAAAGAGAAAGGCAAGAGCTCTTGCTCTCCTGGAAAAGAGGGGGCACGGCTACATTTCCTCCAAGGGTCCTTGCTTCCCAGCAAAGGCTGGGGGAGGACAGTCAACCATGGCTGCACAAGTGGCCTCAGGGTGTTGGACCAGGTGCCAGGGCTCACCCTGGCCCTCGGTGTGGGGTCCAGCCCTGTCTTGGGTAGAGATTCTTTAGAGGTCACTTTCCCTCAAAAGCCAAGTGGCTCCAAAAAGGCTCTCCACCCCAGACTTGTGGGAGGGGTCCACTCCCTACTCCCATCATACCTTTGCCAGCCGACGGCGCTCCAGCCTCCTCTTGCAGGTGGGGAACGGTGGAAGCTGCGTTTTCCCACTGCAGTGGTGGCCTGGCTGTCCCCATCTTGCTCTTAATCCGGAGGCTGTACTGGCGGGCCAGCTGGTAGACCTTGTTCTTAACTCGCTCACTCATGTGGCTGTCCATCACGTGGGAGAGCTGCACTATGCAGGGGTGCAGCGGGGCCACCAGCTCTCCCTGGGAGCCACTGCTCAGCTCCTTCACCAGCTCCTTCAGCTCTCGGGCCAGGTGGGCTGGGCTGGGCCGCTCAGTGGGGGAGGCGCTCTCCGGTGAGGCAGTGGCCGACTCTTCGGTGATGGCTCCCAGCTCGTGCTCCTCCAGGATGAAGAGTGGCTCATGCAGGTCAAAGCCATTGGCCTGGCTTTGGCCTGGCCCCTTCCGAGGGCTCCCCCTAGAAGACTCCATCCCCTCCCAGATCTTCAAAATTTCAGAAGACGGACGGAACTCAGCATCTGTGATAGGAGCTGGGTCCCCAGCGCCTGCACCTTCCTGCCCTGGGCCTGGGAGGTCAAACAGGGCCCATGAAGCCGGCCTGGAGCCCACCTGTCTCTTGTGCCCCAACGGGGCCAATGGCTCTGGGTCCTGCTTGGGAAGGTTGTTGAACCTGGAGACCGAGTTTCTCACCAGGCCTTTGGGGATGTAGGAGAGGCTCTCGCGGCGCCGGATGCTAAAGCCAGCATCGTGGTGCTCTGCATTTTCGTAGTAGCTCTTGATTTTGTCCAGCAACAGCCGGTCTCGGGTGGAGAGCATTGATTCCTTCTTCTTGCAGGAAGAAGACATGTCAGTCTCCGCTGAGCAGCCTGGGCTTGGGGGCTCTGTCCCATTGACAGAAGGGCCACTCTCTGTGGCCACCCCCACACTGAGGTCCCCTTCTGGGGGGAACTGAGAGCCAAGGGCATCTGTGGTGCTGCCACAGCGGGCCAGGCCCTTCTCACTGCCATCCAGGCTGAGCACACTGCTGCTCCGGCTGGTCAGCCTCGGGGTCCCAAAGCCAGTGGACTTGCCATCCTCCAGTGCCAGGCTGCTCCGCCGAGAGAAGCTGCTGACAAACCGCTCAGCAATGACACTGGCCTGGTCCAGCACAGAGGGCGGCAGGAGGCTCTCAGGCTCTTGGGTGGCCCCCATCTCCTCCTCTTCCTCCTCCTCCTCCTCCTCTTCCTCCTCTTCCTCCTCCTCACTGCTCAAGGCCTTAATGTCCTCGGTGCTCTCGGCTACTACAAAGTCCACCATGTCACTCAGGTGGTCCAGCCCCAGCAGCTCCTGATGGGCATCAAGCTGTGTTTCCAGGACTTCTGGAGACTCTGTGTCTAAGGGCATCTCCTCGGCGCTGGGATCTTCCACAGCAGCAAACACCTCCGGCTCTGCCCCAGGCTCAGGGTCTGGCTCAACCTGGGACAGCACAGAAAGCTCACGTGAGACCTGGGGGATGAAGGGACAACATGGCCTACTCTAAGCCGAGTGAGAGGGGACTGCGGTTTAGGACTAAATGTCCCTATGGAGAGGAACGTGATGATGTTCCTTTGTGACCCTGCAGGTGCTGGGTCCTCAAACCCAGGGAAAATTCTAGGAATACAGATGGGGTAAAGAGGTGGCGCCCCTGTGTGGCAGCCTATCTGGGAGCTACAGGGACAGAAGAACATGCAAACACAGGGTCAGAGCCATGGCACCAGCAAGCCCTGCCCAATGGTGAAGCAACTCCCTAGAGCCCTAGAGCCTCCCCACACAGGAGTTGTTCTGGGTTCATACCCAGGCCTGAGCAATGTGAGAGGCCACTCCTACTTCCCTAAGGGGCAGGGCCTCCCGGGAGGCTCAGGGTCCAGCAGGCAACAGGACCACACACTAGAATCCTGTCAGAGGGCGAAACAGGAATGTGGGTACATGTGCCCAGGAGATGGGCAAGGAAGGAAGCAAATTTGAGAACTCCCTCTTGACCACCTTGTAAGTCATTTGAACCACAAAACTGGCTAGTACCTCTCTGGGCAGCCTTCCAGAGAGGTCTGTAGGGAGAAGAAAAGCATACTCTATATTCTGAGGAATCAAACTTGGTAACAATTGATCAAGTCCAGAATCTGCAGAGTAGAACCGTGACCTAGGCCTGCACTGTCTAACGACAGTAGCCGCCAGCTACACTGCCTTCCAAGCACCTGTAATGTGGCTAGTCCACACTTAAAACAGCTGCAAAGGTAAAATACACAGCAGACTGCAAAAACTTCATACAAAAAAAGTATAAAACATCTCATTAATAGCTTTTCATATTGATTATATATTGAAATGATAACTGTTGGGACATGCTGGATTAAATAATTTTTTAAAATATTTTTATTTATTGATTTTAGAAAGAGAGGCAGAGGGAGAGGGAAGGAGGGAGAGAGAAACAACTGAGCTACCTGGCCAGGGCAGTTAAATCATTATTTTTTAAAAATATGTCTTTATTGATTTCAGAGAGAAGAGGGGAGAGGGGAAGAGAGAGAAACATCAATGATGAGTCATTGATCGGCTCCCTCCTGCACACCCCCCTCACTGGGGATGGAGCCCACAACACGGGCATGTGCCCTGACCAGGAATCGAACTGTGATCTCCTAGATCACGGTTAATGCTCAACTGCTGAGCCATGCCAGCAGGGCTTAAATGATTTTTTAATGTGGCTACTAGACAATTTAAAGTTACACATGTGGCCCTGGCCAGTGTGGCTCAGTGGGTCGCCAATTCAGTTCCTGGTCAGGGCACATGCCCAGGTTTCAGGTTTGATCCCTGGTTGGGGTGTGTGCAGGAGGCAACAGATAAATGTCTCTCTCACATTGAAGTTTCTCTCTTTCTCTCCCTCTCTCTTCCTCTAAAATCAATAAAAACATTTTTTTTTCTAATTTATTTTTTTTAATCTTCACCTGAGGATATATTTTCCATTGATTTCTTAGAAAGAGTGGAAGTGGGGTAGTAGGGGGAGAGAAAGAAACATCGATATGGGAGAGACACATTGATTGGTTGCCTCCTGCATGTGCCCTGAACTGGGCAGGGGATTGAAACTGCAACCCTTGGGTACACTGAGCCACATTGACCAGGGCAATAAAAACATATTTTTGAAAAATAATAAAATAATTAAAATAATAAGTAGCCCTGGCCAGTTTGCTCAGTGGTTAGAGCATTGGCCCACAGACTAAAGGGTCCCGGGTTCAATTCCAGCCAAGAGCACATACCTGGGTTTCAGGTTTGATCCCCAACACTGGTTGGGCACGTATGGGAGGTAACCAATTGGTGTTCCCCTCTCCCTCCCTTCCTCTCTCTCTCTCTCTCCCTCTTCCACTCTCTCTGAAAAGCAATGGAAAAAATATCCTTCGGTGAGGAATAAAAATAACAAGTAAAACAACACATGTGGATAGCATTCTATTATCAGTGGACAGCATTACTCTAGACTCTCCTCCAATGTCATCCGGGTGAGGCCCACCCTGGGGTCTCGGCCTCATGAACAAATTTTTCTCATAACTTTGGCAAAGCAAAGGACTCCGTTCCAGACAACCCACAGGCAGTGTGGGGTGGCAGGAAGAAGAGCGTGGGCTTCTGAGTACAGACCCGAGTCTGGTCTCAGCTCTGCCCCTCAGATGCTGCCCACTGTCGGGCACGTCATTCAACCTTTCTGAGCCTCTTTCTTTCTCCCTGGTAGAGCTGTCACAGGGAATAGACGAAAGAAATAAACATCAGACATGTGGGAGGTATCGAGTGAATGTCAATATGCTACCCATTGCCCAAGTGGGCACAGGTATGATTTAAATGTCTGGCCTTCTGGCAGGGGCAGGGCTTTGTGCCCTACACAAGGAGGCCTGGCCGAGGAGATCTAAAATTTGGTCACTTCTGCTGACTGCGCCCCTTGGCAAGGGCCTACATCTGCCCAAAGGAAGGAGCACCTTTTTCTAATTCACAGAAAGGGGCTATCTGCTCACCAAGCCATGTGCACAAAGACCAGACAGGCTTCCTGAAGGGGCCCAACAGGAGAGTCCAAGCCTGAAGGCTTGGCCTGCAGATCTGGAGATCTGGGCTCCAGACACCTCTGCACTATCCCCCTTCCACCTACTGGCCACTCACCTCAGGAAGGGAAGAAATGGACTCGAAGCTCATGTGCTTCTCAGAACTGGTTGGAGACCGGCCGCTGGGCCTCCTGCAGCTCTTGGGGCCTTCGGACTCCCTGCGCCCCTTCACCTGCAGCAAGCAGAGGGGAGTCGTCAGCTCCCGGGACAATTGGGAGCTGGTTCCTTCTGCATCCCAACATGAACAACATGTCCTGAGCCCTAAAGGGGCTGGGCTTTGCTGAGAGCCAGCCTTGCACCTGAGCCAATCCATAGTCAACTTGAACTGCCAAGTCTGGGAACATAAATCCCTGCCAGGCATGCAGCCTCGGAAAAGCCCAGCCCTTTTGACCCTGCCAGCCCTGCTGTGTGCTGCCCTCTCCCCTTGCCCACCACCCCACCCCGTTAGTCATGCGCATTGGGTGGTATACTAGTTCACGCCCAGTACTGGAACAGTGCATGCCAGGGGCTCACCAGGGTGTGACAGTGAGTGAGGGGTTAAGAAGTGCTGATGGCAGAAGTAAAGGAACAAGGACAGAGGGTGGAGAGGGCAGGGGAGGGGACTCTAGGATGGACACGAGCTTGCACATGCCAGGGAGCATGCAAGGAGGAGGGGAGATCAAAGAGACACCTCACCATAGCACCCCGGGAGAAAAGTAAAGCGTTGGCCCGATAGTGCCAGCAGTGGAGGGCAGCCAGCAGGGAGCTGGCAAAGTCGGCTACCTGCTCCGCCACTGCCAGGCTCTCTTCCTCATCTTCTTCCTCTGAGCCTGGGGGCTCTGGCCCAGACCCCTTCTTGCTGCCTTCATGCCCTGCCAGGTCCTCCAGAGTGACCTGAAAGGCCTGCTCCTCCTCGTCTTCCACCACCTCCTCCTGCTCCTGCTCCTGCTCCTCCCGGGCAGCCCCTTCAGCCTCCGCCTGCAGGCCCCGAGTACGGGAGGGCTGCCCAAAGTCCAGGAGCGCGCCAGCACTGCCTGCATGCTGTTCAGAGCACAAGACCCACTCGTGACCGGCCCCTGAGCAACACCCCCTCCTCCTGCCAGTGGCTGGGGGTGAGGAGGGTCTATACAAAAATCCATATCTAGACACCAACCCCTGGTCTGCACTGGAGCCCAGTGAGGACCGGAGGGGTAGGAAGTGGAGGGGTAGGGGGTGAGGTGAGAGAATGCAGGGTGGGGTGGAGGTTCTCGTGGTAGGAAGTTGGGACCTGGGAAAGCTAGGACTGGGGCCTGGTTAGGAACGTAAGACCCAGAGAGGCCTTCCTGTCCCAGAGAGAGGAAAAAATGAGAGAGGATTCAGCTGGCCAGGCCACCACTAGGGTGACATTCCAGGAAAGGGTACAGAAGGGTCCCTGGGGCACATGCCTCAGTTCATTCATCTGTGATCCTGATGACAGAGCCTGGTGCACAGGAGGTGTTTGGTAGGTATTTGTTAAAGGAATGGAGACAATGAGAGCTGAAGGGGCCAGAGCTGACCTGGGCAGTTCCACCCCACTCTATCCAGCCAGGCCCCTCTGCCCACAAGCCTTACCTTCATTCCTGCTGCTCTGGCTGCTGCCACCACCGCAGAGTCCCAGCACATGGGCGAGGGGGAGGGAAGGAAGATGGGTAAACAGGAGAAAGAGCCTCTTTATAGAGGCCAGAGGCCTAGAGCTCCCTGGGGAAGACCTCTCTGGGGGCTCCTACTGTCAGAACCCTCACCTTTCAAAGGAATGACTGACAGAATGGGAGCTGGGGATGGGGGTGAGGGTGGGGCAGTGCAGAGCAGTGCAGGTCTGTGTCACTTGCTCCTGCCGTTACTCAAGGATAGGGTAAAAGGAGTGGGGGGCTCAAGCCCCCTCCCTAGACAGCAATGGGCAAGGCCCACTTCCCAGAGGAATAGAGACAGAGTCCCCTCTAAACTGTCCTCAATATCCCCACCCAGATGGTTACCTTCCTGCCCCTGCCCTAGAGCTCACCTGAATGGCCGTCCACCCCTCACACTCACCTTTCTCGCTGAGTTGCCTGAACAGGTGTTTGGTTGGCTCTGCGGAGGAAAGTGAATAGGCAGTCAGTGTAGGCCTGGAAACAACTGTGCCTGGCCCTGCTCCCAAGCCCACAGCACTGCCGGCCCATCACCAGCTCAAAGTCCACTTGGGCCTGGCCCCCTCACCCCATCCCACTTCCATCAGCCCTAGGACCTCTGCTATGACCACCAGTCCCCATGAGCAGCACTTCCCACAATCCCCTGGATTAGCAAAGCTCACCCAAGGAGCCACAGCCCCACACTGCCCCCTTCAAACCAACTAGCCATATCTCTGGAGGTCCACGGCTCCACCTCAAGCCCCACCTTCCCTGCAATGAGAACATCAGCTACAGCCCAGGCCAAGCCCCCTCATAGCACCCCAGTTGGAAAGCAGAGGTCGCACCCGACTTCCTACGGCCCTTAAGGCCTGGCACCACGAAGCTTCGCTGCCTGTTGGGGAGTGTTGCCTGGCTGTACAGGGGCTGACCAGGTTCTGGGGACAGGATACAAAACACACCCATTAGGCTGATGGTGTCACCAGTCTTTCTGGGGACAGACCTGAGACAGGCAGGCAGGAATAAGAGGACACGTGTCAAGGGACCTCTCTATTGAGCCTCGGACTTAACCCATGCTGTCCTTGCCCAGCTGGCATTAAGTGAGAAGCCCATGATAAACTTATAACCAGAAGGAAAGTCTACTGAGGTCTCTTAGCTGTTCCTGGGCAGAAGAGCATAAAGAAAAACATTTTTCTACTGAGGTGTGTTTGCGTGCACAATCTGCACAATATAAGTAAACATTCAATTGTTTTCATCAAACACTCAATTCTTTCATTTTAGAACCTGTAATCAAGAATATTTAATAATGCCCAGCCGGCGTGGCTCAGCGGCTGAGCATCAACCTATGATCCAGGAATCACAGTTCGATTCCCAGTCAGGGCACATGTCCAGGTTTCCGGCTTGGTCCCCAGTGGGGGGCGTGCAGGAAGTAGCCAGTCAATGAATCTCTCATCATTGATGTTTCTATATCTCCCTCCCTTTTCTGTCTGAAATCAATAAAGACATTAAAAAAAGAATATTTAATAAGTGACAAACGATGACAGCAGCACCTTATCCATAAATGTTATTTATCTACCCATCTCAGCTCTCTGGAAGGAGGAAGCAGAAAAGGCCGAGAGGCAGTCGGAGCAGGTGGCTGAGAGCAGGCCTCTCGTCCTCCCTTCTCAGCCACTTCATGCTGCTGTTACACACTTCTCACAAGTTCCACAGACTGATTTCTAACAGAATGAAGGAGGAAGACAGGATACTGCAGGCAAGCACACGAAGACGGATGAGAACAAACACTCGTCAGTGTGTAGACGGACACAACCCTGCAAACACAGGCTGTCTCTACGGCAACCGGCAGCCCCCACCCCCACCCGAGGCCCCTGGAGAATCTGGCAGCTCATGCACCACAGTGATGCCGCTGCACCGACTTCAGAAAAGAAGTTCAACTCTGGTCAGCATCCTCTATTTTAAAGGCTCAAGAGCATGAAGCATGTTTTTTTAGAAAGATGTCTCTTTCATAATGGTTAAAACGAAAACACAGAAACAAGCACACAAACAACACCCAACTCTTTTAGAGTTTTAGATTTTAGGCTAAAATCTCAGCCATGTGGACACTTAAGCTCTAAAACGGCTCATTTCCCGAGTGCCTTCATAGCTACCGTTTGGAATCTGACGTATGACAGGTAGTAATACTATGACTACCACCACCGCCACCGTCACTTACTGAACATGTCCATGTGCCAGAGCTTCCAATTTAAAGCTATGGCAGGTTAAGGAGGAATTCTTGACGGACAAAAGAGGATTATAAAAGAAAGGAAAGAAAAACAGACCCCGAGACTAACGAACTTAACACCGCCAACTGGGAGCTTTTAACATGTAACACCATACAATTCTGCAACCATGACAAGCTTGCCTTGGGTTCAAGATCCATTGGGAGCAATACCAAACAAAATAAAACCACAGTTTTCTAAAGACCACTCAGCTCACACATCAACCCACATGACTATTCAAGAGACCTGTGGGTCATGGCTAATCAAAGCCCAATGCACTGTGGAGATCTAAGCCAGGACACCACTCCCAGTCACACCCAAATCTCTCTCTCCAGGGGTCTCTAAGACATTTCTCACCCCAACTCCCACCACGTGAGTATGTTTGGCAGATACCTGGCTGAAGCCAAATCGGTCCCTGAGCCTCAGACTGAAAGGCAGAGTAAAAACAGATGTAGAAAACACACTCATCACCAGGACAGCTAAGAATAAAAGGTCTTCTCTTTTTCAATAGACGATTCACTCCAATTACTCCAAGTACATAGTAGTGAACCCAGTCATGGAAAACCCAGAAGAGGAAAATGGAACTCTTCCCTGAGACCCAAAGTAAATATTTCCCGTCTGGATTTGATGCCACTTGAAGCCTAACTTGTTTTCCCCATGCCCTGCCTCTGCTCTGTTCCACAGCTGAGCTGGGACCCATCCATGATGTCCAAGCGTTACTCCTGGCTGACTCCCAGGATTTGGAGAGGTGAAGAAGGGAGATTTCAATTGCAAGGGAGCTAAGAAGAGTGCCAAGGCCTGAGTGAATGAGCATTCCTAGGGTCTTTGAAAAGGTGGACTGCCCAACCCTGGTGGGCAAGAAGGGCGCCTAGGTGCCTGGTGGGGGGGAGCACAAGGAGAGGATGCTCCACACACACACACACCCTGCCCTTTCCCAGGATTTCTGCAGTTGAGAGCCAGCCCCAAATGCTGCTGCAAATGGTCCCCTGCCTGGTCAAGGGTCCTATGAAGATGCCTCTCTGCCCACACAGCCCTTTCCTTACCAGATTGCCGGCGGCCCTGGCGCGCATGGGTGGACACCTCATCCTGTGAGGACCAAGCCTTCTTCAGGCGCTCTGGACTGTAGCGGTACCGATTGGGATCTGCACCCAGGAGAGAAAAACAGGCCTTTGGGACACTATCAGCCTTGGCCTAGAGTCTGACTGTAGCTGACCACATCTCTGCTGCCCACCCCAACTCCAGGGGCAAGAAGCCTCCAAAATTCCCTCCTCTTCCATCTTCCATCCAATTCCACCCAGGAGCATCGGACATGGAGAGTCCGCTCATCAGCAGTGCCCCTAGTTCACAGTAGACCCCAGGGCCTGACAAAAGGAGCCACCTGGTCCCCCCTGCCCTCTGGAATCTTAGTGTCAGGCAAAGCTTCCCCAGGACACAGCCTGACCGAGAAAGGTGCACAATTAGGGACAGAGCAGGCAGAAAGGGTCACTTACAATAGGAATCCATTTCCAAAATAGCTTCCTTGGCCTGGAAAGGAAGAAACCCACCTAGTTACGACCTTGCCATGTGCTGTGCCTCCCGCGGTGTATGGACTCACTTGCTGAGTGAGGATACCCCATAGTGCTCTGCTGAGGCCCAGGGCATCCTCTGAACTAACCCCCGCTGTTGAGTGAAGCCAATGTCCAGAGGGTGAGGCCCCAGTGGACCCCACAGCTGGCACTAAAAGACACCCTCTCCCTGTACCCCAACAGGAGCTGGGGCTGGGGGCACCCCAGGAGCACACCTTCTGGGGGATGGTGGTGTGGTGGTTCTCCAGGATGAGCCTCTTGATGTGGTGAGTCCAGTTCCGTTTCTCCTCCGCTGTTTTGGCCTGGGAGGAGCCAAGGGAGAGGGAGCCAGGGGTTATCATGGGCCTAAAAGCACATGACATGGGCCGTGCTTCTGCCAAGCAGGGCAGAGGTGGGAAGAGGACCTCTGCGGGGGCCTCTGTGACGTTACTTTGACTTGTCAGCACAAGCCTGAGAGGTGTCCACAATGAACCTTGCCTTCCAGAGCGAGACCCTGAGGCTCAGCACAGCTAAGTGAGTGGATGAGGCAGGTCTGTCCCAGCCCAAGCGCCCCGACCGGCCCCTCACCTGGATACTATACTGCTGCTTGCTGTGCTTGTAGTGGGTGACGGTGAAGCACAGGGAGTCTCTGGTGCTTTCGATCAGCATCAGGGAGGAGCACTGGGGCAGAGGGAGAGGGCAGTCAAGCACAAGGAGGGGGGAAAGGGCAGCTGACCTGGGGCCCCAGTGCCTCGAGATCATCTTGGGAGGCAGGAAGAGTAATCGCAGAAGGATGGAGCTACGTCCACACTGACTTGGGGCCAGTGAAGAGTGCAGAGGGCAAGGAAGGAAGGAGGCAGAGGAGACCACAGCAGCCTGGTTACCGGGATGTGACCCTTGTAGACGAAGTGATCGCCCCGCTTCTTGGTGATGAGCAGCGCTTTGTCAAAGAGGAAGAAGGTCTTCTCATTCCGCACGCGGTGCACGCGGAATGTGCCCTCCAGGACGAGCTCCCCATAGATGGTCAGGTCCGGCCCCTTCCAGTTGATGAGCAGTGACTGAATCTCCTGCAGCACAGAAGCACCAACCCCAAGGGTCAGGCTTATCATGACCATGCTGGGGACCCTATGGGACTCCAGGAAGCTCCTAAAAATCCAGCCACTGCTGGGTCACCCTAGAGAAGCCTGCCCCACACGGACACCACCCCTCAGCTCACCCCAGCAGGGCAGCCACATTCCCTCTCCAAGCCCCACGCCCACGCAACCACGCCCGCATGCCCCTGCAGGCAGCAGCCTGGAGCACCTGGAGCCGGACTGCGTGCTCGTGCCTCCTCTTCATATCGTTGATGTACCAGGCCACGCAGGTCATGGTGTCGATGGCATCCTCCACCACCTCAAAGCCGTCCTCTTCTTCATCAAAATGTTTGGCAATTTCCTGCATGGGACACAGGGGCTTAGTCAGTCCACAGACTCAAGGGTCCTGCCCCTCCCCCGGCCGCCCCTGGACCCTTGGGTTACCTGGAGCAGTAGGTGGTACTTGAGGATGCGCTGGACTGGCTTCAGCAGGTAGGAGCCCAAGGGCAGCGAGTGCTGCAGCAGCTCCTGCCGGTCCCGGAAGAACTTGGCCTGCTGCTTGTCCCGCATGCATTCCGTCAGGGCAGCCACTGAGCTGGGAGTGGGGAAGGGGCCGTCACCGCCTGAGAAGGCCTGGATGGGAAGGTGGGGTGTCCCAGACTCACCAAATGGATCAGCTGCCCCTCTCCACCTAGTTACTCACTTGGGGTAGTTGTTGCAGTACTGGGTGTAGATATCAAATTCTTGACTCTAAGGAGAAAGCAAAAATAGTGATTTCAGGGAGAGTCTCTTTGGACTGTAAAGCCAGGTCTACCAAAGACATGCCCCTGGTCCCCAGAGCAACTCTATCCCCCTTTCCCTGAGTGTCTGCAGGTCCATCTTTGCACCCATCTGTCTGGCCCCACCCCAGTATACCCTCCCCATTACCGAAAGGAAGCATGGCCTTTCCCCTGGAGAGGGGCACCCAGAGCTCAGATGTCCCCTGAAGGTGGGAGTTCCTGTCCCACTGAGCCCCCAGCAGGGGGCTTCTTACCCTTTCCACAAAGCAGCTGGCCACAGCCACAGGATCACTATTGCAGTTGTCCAGGTCTCTGAGTAGCTGGCTGGGTGAGGGAGAGTGGTCATCAGATCCTGGACCACTTGCAGCCTCACATCTACCAACACACCATGCTCCCTCCCCGGCTTCCTGGCGCCCAGATACACAGCCAGCCCTGGTGTCATACCAAAGAGTCAGGGCTTCCACCCTCAAAGTGAGCCCTGCCCATGGCAGCAACCACAAAAAGCATCCAGCAACACTGCAAAGATGGGGAGCAAAGGACACCCACATGCTCAGTAAGAGGAAGAAGGGACACCAGTACCCACCTCCGGGAGAGGACACGGCTCCTCTGCAGGCAGAAGGAGTCAAATACACAAAGCAAAGATTAAAGGAGAAAGAAGAGAGAGAGGGGAGTCGCAAAAGAACCAAGGCACCTAGTTCAAAAGGATGCAGTAAAAGGAGAGAGACAGGGTGAGTCCCAGCACCCCTTATTCTTAGATGGAGGCACTATAGGAAACCCTAGAAAGGGTGCTCCCCCCACACTTCCCCCACCTTCCCAATCCCCACAATCCAGCCTAGGTGTCCCTCCCAGACTTCTCCAGCTTACACAGCAAGACGTCTCCCTGCCCACCTTAAAGGGCCTGGGGTAAGTTTCCTCCTGAACTATCAACACTGTCCCCTCAAGCTCTGCTCCTCCAGACTAGTGCCCTTCCCCTGGGGCATCTGTGGGCCCAGGCGGCACACTATAAATCCTCAAGGAGCCCCTTGGCCCTGAAACAGCCCCTCATCAGGCCTTGTTCAGCCTCCCCCATCACGTCTTGACTGACCTGTGCATTCCCCTAATGGGTCAGAGATCACCTCCAGGGAGCCCTGACTTCCCATGGGGTCAGTAGGAAGACGGAGAAGAAATTAAGAGATGTGCAAGAGGAAGACAAAGATGAAAGGGACAAAGGAACCACAAAGTGATAGAGGGAAGGATATCATGTGCAAGGGTCCAGCAGTCCCCCGAGGAGGTACCAGCCCAGGCTGAACCCAACAAGCACATGGCCTCAGACGCTCTCCCTGCCTTACAGGAAGCACATCAGCCCCAGGGCACATGGTCCCACATGTCCTCTCTCCTGCAGGGAGCTAACTATACCTTTGTACAGGGATGGACTGCCCCTCCCCACCCTCAGAGATCAGGCTCTGGACCCATATGTCACAGCCCATGAGACGAGGGACATCCAGGATTCCTCCCCAGGCCCTGAGATGGGCCTCACAGGTGGAACATAGTGTATGCCAGGCCCGCTCATACCTGTTCAGTGCATAGATGTTTTCTATGTTCCCAAAGAGGGCGCTGACTTGTTCTGGCTTTAGCAGCCCAGGTGTGTCAATGATCTTCAAGAGGTAGTCCTGCATGGAGAGAGGCATCAGGGCCCAGCCCTTCCTGACACAATCCTGTCCCCCTAGCCACACCTCATTTTACAGCTATAACGCGATTTCACAGACATCACCTACTATACTGGGTTGGATAGTTCCATCCAAAAGTTAATGTCCACTTGGAACCTCAGACTATGACCTTATTTGGAAACAGGGTCTTTGAAGATGCAACTAGTTAAGGATCTCAAGAGGATCATACTGGATTTAGGGTGGGCCCTAAATCCAATGACTAGTGTCCTTATAAGAGAAGACATGAAGAGACAGGGAAAAAGGCAACGTGAAGACGGAGGCAGAAACTGGGGTGATGCATCTACAGGCCAAGGAACACAGAGGATGGACAGCAACCAGCAGAAGCTAGGAAAGAGGCCTGGAATGCATTCCCCCTCAGAGCCTCCAGAAGAAACAACCCTGCCAACATCTTGATTTCTAACTTCTAGCCTCTTAAACCGAGACAGAATAAATTCCTGCGTCTTAAGCCTCTAAGTCTGTGGTAATTTGTTACAGCAGCCCTGGGAAACCAATACATCTCCTTCCACAGCAGCTGGCAGCTTCCACAGTTGCAGCCGCAGGGCCACCTCCTCCTGTGTGCCCTGCACAGAGGGAAATGCTTCACCTACACAGCCCTGCGAGGAGGTGCATCTTCATTTTACAAATGAGGAACCTGAGGTTCTGGGGGGTGGGTTACCCCCGTGCCTGAGACCCCAGAGCTAGGGAACAACAGAGCAGGGATTTAGAAGCAGACAGGTGGGGTCCAGAGCCAGTCTCCACTGAGCACAGGAGTCCCTTCTGTCCTTGCCTACTCCCCGGGGAAACTGCAGTAGGTTCTGCCGGCTGGAGCGACTGGTCTCACCCAGTCACAAGGCAGTGTGGGCGGTCGGCAGCTTCCCCAGGGCGGGAGATGTCAGGCTTCCCCGCTAGTCCACGGGAAGCAGACCTCCGAGACACGCGTGTCGGGGAAGCACCCTCCCGGGGTGTCGGCAGGTTTACGCACAGAGCTGGGCTGCCGAGGCCCGGCCGGGGGAGGCGGGCGAAGCCGCGCGGGCCTCACCTCCACGATGCTGCGCAGGTCCTGCACGTACATGCGCTCGGTCTCCACGATCTCCCGCACCACGCGGCCCAGGTAGCTGAGCTTGTGCGCAGGCGCCGCCGCCGCCCGGCTGTTGAACGGGGACAGGGGTCCCTTCTTGTTCAGCCGGCTGCTGGAGTTGTTGTTGCTGTTGGGGGGGTGCCGGCCTCGCGGGGAGCCGGCCCCGTTCTTGGCTGAGGCCTCAGGGCCACTGGGCTCCTCCATGGCGCCCCGGCTGTCACGGGAGGAGCCCGAGGAGGACGCGGTGGAGGTCAGGCTCAGCGGCCGCTCCTGGCTGCCGTCCTGGCGGAGGGAGGCAGAGACGGGCATCCTGGCATCGCTGCCCGGCGGAGGCTCTGCGGCGAGATTCTGGGCAGGACAGATAAAGAGGCAAACTCTGAGTCTTCAAGAAACAGAAAGCAAAAGGCTGGCTGCTAAGGGTGAGTGGGGGCAGGCAGGGGTAGTTGCTGTTTCATGGATACTGAGTTTCGGTTTTGCAAGATGATAAAACGTTCTGTGGACGGATTGGTGGTGATGGATGCACAACAATATGAATGGACTTAATGCCACTTAAAAATGGTTAAAATGCATATTTTATCTTACTTTAAAAACAATTTTACAGCCTGGCCGGGCATGGCTCAGCGGTTGAGTGTCGACCTAGGATCCAGGCGATCGGGGTTTGATTCCCGGTCAGGGCACATGCCTGGGTTGCGGGCTGCAGCCGATCAATGATTCTCTCATCATTGATGTTTCTATCTCTCTCTCTCTCCCTCTCCTTTCCTCTCTCTGAAATCAATAAAGATATATTTTAAAAACAACCAAAAAAAACAATTTTACAATTTTAAAAGCAGCAACTCTGCAAAACACCAATTAGAAAAAACGTATGCACCTCTATGTTCATAGCAGCGCAATTTGCAATAGTTAAGATCTGGAAACAGCCCAAGTGCCCATCAGATGAGTGGATAAAAAAGCTGTGGGACATTTACACCATGGAATACTATGCAGCTATAAAAAAGAAGGGTCTCTTATCCTTTGGGACAGCATAGAGGGAACTGGAGAGTATTATGCTTAGCCAAATAAGCCAGTCAGAGAAAGGCAAGTACCACATGATCTCACTCATATGTAGAATATAATAAACAAACTGATGAACAAAATAGATCCAGAGAAGCATGGAACAGACTGAGGGATCTCAGAGGGAAGGTGGGGATGGGAGAGTGGGTGGGGAGAGAGTAATCAAAGAACTTATATGTTTATAAGCATAACCCATAGACACAGACATTGATATGGGGAAGGCCTGGGGGTGGGGTGGATACAGGGTGGACGGGGTCAATGGGGGTAAAAAGGGGACATCTGTAATATTTTCAAAAATAAAGATTAAAAAATAACAATAAATAAAACATAATGGAAAAAACAAAAACCCCCAGCAACTCTGAATCCCCAGGAAGTCCTTCTTCAGACTATGAGCATTGACAAGGATGCCCAATAACATTCCTTCCTGACTCCAACGGCTCCACCTCCATCTTTCCAGGGTGGAAGAAAAATGGACCACAGCCAGGGACAACAAGGGCTCTGAAACCCGAGGCCCCAGAAAAGCAGAGAAGACACCTCTGCCAGAGCCATGGCAGGGGTGTCTTCTCAAACCCAAGTACCTCAGCTCCTCACCATCTGCCCCAGTGCTGTGTCCTCCAGGCTCTGAGCACCTGGTACAGGGCAACGGCTCCATAAACCGTCAAAACCGTGATGCTAAGGGTAGCTGTCAAAAAGCACTTCCCAAGTGTTCACCTGTCAGGGCCTGTGCTGGGGTCACCAGACAAGGGCAGGCAAAGATCTGGCTCTTATAATTTATGACAACACACATGCCAGAGGGTAACAGTGTCCCCAAAGTTGCAAAATCTCTGGGGTGCCAATGGCTACACCATGAACCTGGAAACTTCTGGATACTGACAGAGAAGGCAGAGGAGATGGTACAAAGGCTGAGCCTACATTACCCACCCCCACCTTCAGCACCTGGTACAAGCCCCTGACTCACCCTGGCTCCCAGGACACAGGAAATTCCCCAGGGCTGAGCCACCAGTGAGTCCTCCTAGCTCCCCCCTCTCAGCTCAGGGGAGCACAGCAAGCAGGAAGCTGCTCCCAGATGAGGCAAACACAGCCTTTGGTGGACTTTATTCCCTGAGCAGACAGTGGATTCACAGGTAGGCTGCCTGAAGCAGCAAGTCAGGGGAGGGGCTGCAGCCTTTGAGAAGAACAGAGACGCTCCACCTCCACCCCAGAGGATCAGAGCTCACTAACACCACTTTCTAGAATGTACATCTGATTGTTGGTTCCACAGGAAAAAGTTCCAGAGCATCCCTCCCACCTCTACTGACCCAAAGCCTTCCACCCCTAGTTCTAGATCTCAGAAGCTACCAGATCACAGACTACAGCTATGAGGAGAAGAATCTAGAAGGTACCATCACTCCAATAACTATGAATTTGCTCCCTGGTCTTCTGTGCCTCTGCACCACCCTGGAACCAGCACCCCAATCTGTCCCAACACCCTGGGCTGTGGCCTTTGCAAATGTTCTCCCCCACCCATCCCATGGCATACTCCCCCCCCCAACCGGAGTCACTTATACCCAACCCCCTGGTTCCAATTAGAAGCCACCACCCCCTCTAGAGACCTCCCCAGAAAGCAAACTTGGGGCACCTTCTGCATAATCTTTCCACACCCAGGGTTACACCTACTCTAGCACTCGCTGCACGAGACTGTGACTAGTTTGAGGCCTCCGACCCTCGGCTATAAGTGACCTATGGGCCGGGGCCTTAAGGATGATCTGGCAAATGAATGATGATGAACAAACTAGTGCCTGTACTGAGCTAAAAGTCAGGAGCATCGAGACCTGTTTGCCATCCATGCTCGCCCAGCAAGGAGCTCCTCAGGCACAGCGCTTTGTCACTGTGTGTCTCGGCTGCGGTGCTCACGTGAGCCTCCCGTTTTGCAGATGAGGACACAGTGGCACCACTGGGGCCAGTCCTGTACTCTCCCTCCCTTCATGGGCAGCAAAAGGAGGGTTAACTCAGAGGATCCGCTGAGTGGAACTGAGCATCTCAGAGGAGAGCCCCTTGGGAAATGCAGCGTTGCTGCCTTTTCCTCCCTCTTCAAAAGAGCCTTCAGAATTAACCCGCTAGGCCTGTCTACAGAACCAGCCAGCAGCCTAAGACCACGTCGTTTCAGCACAGAGGAAGACAAAGACCCATACTCTGCCCCCTAATCCTCAGTCCTGCAGGACTCTGGTGTCCTTCAAAGCACACTGCTTGTCGCAGTCAGGCACATTGCCTCTCTCCACCCCTCCCCCATCAGTCCCAGCTGGAACCATGGGACAGGGACTTATGGCCTAAGACTTTTCCCAGATCAGACCTGGGATCAGTTAGCCCCTAGAGGGATGCTAAATGGAAAAGGCCCAATTCCCAAGTGGATTTCGCAGCTGACCAGGTCACAGTGCCCCACAGCTACTGCCCCCCCCCC